GCGCCATCTTAGCTTGCAGCTGGCCCGGACGAGTTTACTTGTGAACCCCCAAAAAATCGGATTCTTCGAGAGTTCTTTGATTGTTCTATCGTGGGCCTCTTCCTGATCACGAGGGGGTCGGACTCATCAGAAACGAGCACAATTGGAAATGAGCACGATTAGAAAGGAACGACGTGTACTTCTACTATATGTCCGTCGCCCCCCCAGGGGCGACGCCCGAACCCAGAGATCTCATAGCACATGCGTCGTGGCGGGCGCTTTCTGGCCACACCGCTCGGGAAACGGTATACTACAAGATGGGTATACTATAGGTTCGGATACAACGCGCGTCTCCCAAGGAGGACATGTGTAGTATTTCCTCGCACGTTTCTGTGCGTCCCAGGGCGTTGGACGGGCCACGAGCGCCCTGGGAGAGCCCAGAGGCGCCCCCAAGAAGGCGCACAGGCCCCGCAAAGGCGCCAGGGAGGCCCTCAGAGCCGCCCCCCGCCCCTGAGGCCCCCCTCCAAGACTTGCAGGACCGGTGGGGAGCGCTGTGTTCTCGATTGTCTCCCCTGCGCGCTTCCGCAGGGCGTCCCTGCCTTCTGCGAGGCGCCCCCGCGGGCTCCATGAGTCCGGCGAGCAGACCCCCGGAGTCCCAAGACAACCCCGACGGCGCCCAAGTGCCTCCGCAGGTGGCTCCGTGAGGGCCCCCGGACGGCTCAGGGAGCCCCTGGCTCCCCGGGGCGTCCGACGGGCCGCGAGCGCCCTGGGGCAGCCCTAAGGGGCCCCACAGACCGCCCTCGGGCGCAGGTCAGAACCCCACAGGTCTCCTCCTCCTCCTCCTCCTCCTCCTCCTCCTCCTCCTCCTCATCTTCCTCCTCCTCCTCCTCCTCCTCCTCCTCCTCGAAGAGGCCCTCCAGAGGCCCCCCGGCGGCTCTCCAGCGAGACCCCGGGGGGGACGGAGCGGGCTCCGGAGAGTGCGCCCCAGAGCGCGGTGGGGTCCTTCGGCCGCCGTGGTCGCCCTCCTGCGTTGTCCGAGCTCCTCGCGCTTCGCCTCCGAGGGGGCGCTCCCCGCAGACAGCCAGGGGGCCTCTGGAAGGCGCACCCCGGTCGGCCTCCTGCGGGTCTCTACGGGGCTGCTTCGTGGGCCTCCCGAGGGTTCCTGAGCCCCGGCTGGGAGGCGTCTGGGGCTTGTGTCGGGCAGTTGTCCGTTACGTCAGGGGCGGCTCCAGGTCCAAGCCTCTCTCTCTCACACGCAGCGTGTTCCAGAGGGCTTCTCCCAGGACCCACTTGGCTTCTGATGCCCCGACGAGGCCCTGAACCCCTGAGGCCGGAGGCTCCACCTCGACGCCCGCCACGTTTCCTGATGGAGCGCGGTCTGGACGAAACGTCCCGGAACACGCTGGGTTCCGTGGTCCGCCATGGCCTACCCCCGTTGTGGAACGACGGTTCCAGTGGTCATTCGGCCGAGGGGTTTCAGAGGGCCCCGCGAGGTTTCCGCCAGGCCCCAAAAGCCCAGCACGTTTCTTCAAAAAACCCACAACGCTTCCTCCATGGAGCGTGCTCCGGAGAGTGCGCCCTGGAACGCGCTCAGTTCCGTCTTCTGCCGTGGTCCACCTCTCTGCCTGCGTGCCCCCTCCGTCTCCCTCACAGAACCCCCCCAAAGTACAGCCAGACCGAGGTATAAGATCGAGGTCGGTTCGGGGAGGGTGCCCTCGTGTTCTTCGTGTTTGTTGGATGTTCTTGTGCACCCTGGTCAGGATGCCCTTAGATGCTCTGTCTGTTTTGGCCAGCGGAGGGTCTCATGTTCTTGAGGGGTGTTCTTCTGGCCTAGGTCTGTCTGTATACGCAGAGTCCAGACGGCCCGCAGGTCGCCCCGACGGAGCCCCTGGACGGCCCAAGGAGTCCCCCGGCATCTCTCCCCCGGGGCGCCATGTCGGGCCACGGGCGCCCTTTGGAGAGACCCGGAAGCTTCCGAGAGGGGCCGGAGGCCTCGGCAAGGTGCCCGAGAGGCCTTCAAGTGGGGCTTCAATGGGGGCCCCAGATCGGCTTCCAAGACACACACCCGGAGGCCCGACGAAGCCTCGAAGAGGTCCCACACCCCAGCACGTTCGAGGAAGGCCCCCGGCGTTTCCAGGCGCACCGCGTTCCGGAGAGTGCGTGTCGCGACGCGCTGGGCTCCGTCTTCTCCCGAGGCCGCCCTCCTTGCGCGCGGGAGAGGCACATACCGTTTCCTGACGGAGCGTGTTCCGAGGAATGCGTCCTGGAACGCGGTGGGTTCCTTCTTCCGCCGTGGTCGCCCTCTTACGTTTTCAGAGCTCCTCGCTTTTCGCCTCCGATGGGGCCCCCCGCAGTCAACAAGGGGCCTCTAGAAGGCGCACCCTGGTCGGCCTCCTGCGGATCACTACGAGGCTGCTTTGTGGATCTCCCGAGGGCTTCTGAGCCCCAGCCACGAGGCGTCTTGGGGTTGCGTCGGGCAGTTCTCCGTCATGTCGGGGGTGGCACCAAGTCCAAGACCGGCCCAGACGTAGTGTGTTCCAGAAGACTGTTCCCAGAACGAGCTCGGCTCCAGATACCCCGACAGGCTTTCGCGCCTCCACGGCACTTCAGGCCGAAGATTCCATTTCAACGCCCGCAGCGTTTCCTTATAGAACAGGTTCTGGAAAAGCGTCCGGAACGCGTTGGGCTGCGTCTTTTGCCATGAACCGCCCCCTTGGCAGAACGACGGCTCCCGTGGTCACTCGGTGGAGGGGCCTCACGGAGGCCCCACGTGGCTCCCGCCAGGCCCCACAAGCCACCACGTTCTCTCAAAGCCCACACCGCTTTCTCATGGAGCGTGTTCTGGAGAATGCGTCCTGGAACGCGCTCAGTTTCGTCTTCTGCCATGGCCAGTTTTCCTGCCTGCGTGCCGCCTCCGTCTCCCTCACTTCGGTGTTGCTGCTATGCCTCGAGTTCCCTCCTCTTTCGTCCAGCTACCTCCTTCCGCCCTCGGCTCTTCATTGCTCAGAGAGTAACCCCAGGAAGCATTTAAGACCACCCCCCCCCTTCCGGCAAATCGATAACCCTTCCGCACCCTGGAAGCGTTACCTGGCACCAGGAGCCCTCCTCCTCCTCCTCCTCATCCTCCTCCTCCTCCTTTCGATTGTAGCCCAGGGGCCAGGCCTCCGCGAATTTGTTGTGTGTCCGGGTGCTAAACCTATCGTGCGGTTATTTCGGCCCCTCGGAATATCGAATAAAAATGCGGTGCTAAGATATCGCCGGGGGGTTTCTTAGATGCTTCCTGGGGTTAGTACCCCAGAATGGCTCCCCAGGGCGTCAACCAGGCCACGAGCGCCCTGGGAGAGCCAAGCCTCCCCTAAGAAGGCCCAGAGGCGCAAAACGGGCGCCCTGGAGGCTGTCAAACAGGCTCCCCAGATGCCCCGCTTAGCGGCTTCTCAAAGACCCTCAGGACGAGGAGGAGGAGAAGGAGGAGGAGGAGGGGGAGGCGGAGGAGGAGGAGGAGGAGGAGGAGGAGGAGGAGGAGGAGGAAGAGGAGGAGGAGGCTTACTTCGAAACCCTCGCCTTCCCGCTTCCGACTTCGGAGGATGCATCCTGGACGCTCCGGGTGACGTTGCTTCCCTCCGCCCCTTTCCCTGGTGGACCGACGGCTCCAGTGGCCAATCGGCGAGGGAGCCTCGAGGAGGTTCCCAGGTGCCCGACGAGGCCTCCCAAAGGTCATATAGCCAGTACGTTAGCGGAAGGCCTTTGAAGCTTCATGATGGACCGTGCTGCAGAGAATGCGTCCTGGGACGCGTTCGGCTTTGTCTTCTCCTGCGGCCGCCATCCGCGCCTACGTGCAAGGCGCATACCTTTTTCCGGAAGGGGCCTGTTCCAGAGAATGCGTGCCAGAACGCGTCTGTTTCCCTCTTCTGTTGCGATCGCCGTCTTCGTTGTGAAAGCCTTCCCTTTGTCGCCTCCGATGGGCGCCAGAGAAGGGAGAGGAGGGAGAGAAAGAGGGAATATCGAAAGATGAGTAATAGGAAACGGAGGAGAAGGAGGAGGATGAGGAAGAGGGGGACATCAAGGAGAGGATGGAGTTCATCGTCGTCGTCAACGTCTAAGCTCGACGCTGCCGTCGTCCAAGATGGCGCCTGCAATCGGGGAGGTCTGCGCTAGAATCTAAGCGCGCGCGGTGCGCGCGCGTATTGCGTGTGTGTATACCTATATATTTATATTTATAGTTATATTTATATTTATATTTATACTTAAATTTATCATTATATTTATATTTATATCTCTAATTATGTATATATATGTATATTTATAGTTATATTTATATTTTTATGTATGTGTATACAATTAGGTGTATATATTTATATATGTATATAGGTATATATTTTATAGGTGTATATATATGTATAATTATAGGTCTCTCGATATACATATACATATATATATATACACATATATTTATAGATGCAAATGTCGCCGCACCGTTGGTTCCGACGCGCGGCTTGATGTCTTGGGGAGGGCGCCGCGGGCACCAGGGCAAACGCAGCCTCGGGCGCGGTGGGCTCACCGTAAGGTGTTCCGCGGTGCCGGCCTCGTCAGCTGGGGCGCGGGGCGCAAGGTTTGCCGTGGGTCTCCCGTGGGTTTGCCGCGGTGTCGGCGTCGTCCACTCGGGCGCTACCACTCTGTTCTTATCATCCTCACGGCTTTCTGCTCCTCCTCTTCTCTTGCTCTTCGTTTCTCTCCCTGGCTGTTCCCCCCCTCTGCTCTTGCCCTCCACCTGGCTTCTTCTCTCGTGCTCATTCTTTCTCGTCCTCCTTTTCACCCGTGATCACCCTTACCTTCCTCCTCCTCCTGCTCCTCTCCTCCTCCTCCCCCTCCTCCTCCTCCTCCTCCTCCTCCTCCTTCTCCTCCTCCTCCTCATCATCATCAGCCTTCTCCTCCACTTCCTCCTCCTCTCCTCTCCTCTTCGCTCTTGCGCTTCTTCGGTCTTTCTTCGTCGCTCCTGTTTCCCATTGCTCCCAGACCACGAGGCACTCGTACAGCGGCACTCGGGCTACTTCCAGGCCAAGAAGCGGGGTGACTACTTCCACCTGCCGCAGGATGTCGGTGCGGCCAGACACCCGGCGGACGGACACATCACAGCACAAAGCTTTCAGCTGAGCGGGGACGCCTGCCCTGGAGGGTCTGGAGTCTTCGCCCCCTCACGGCGAGGCACGATCGCATGAGACCTCCAGTTGCCCTCAGGGACGGGCGTTCCCATCCTCTGAAACACTGCATTGTTATGCTGTGCTCCGTCCGCCGAAGAAAACACATACACACACTCACACTCACACCTCACACCCACACTCACACTCACACTCACACTCACACTTACACTCACACTCACACTCACACTCACACTCACACCCACACTCACATTCACACTCACACTCACACTCACACTCACAGTCACAATCACAAGCACAATCACAATCACAATCACAATCACAATCGCAATCGCAATCACAATCACAATCACAATCACAGTCGCAATCACAATCACAATCACAATGACGATCACAATCACAATCGCAATCACAATCACAATCACAATCGCAATCACAATCACAATCACAATCACAACCACAATCACAATCACATGATGTGCACCGACCGCTGAAAACACACATACACACAATCACAATCACAATCACAACCTCACAATCCCAACCACAATCACAATCACAATCACAACCACAATCACACTCGCACCCACAATCACAATCACAGTCACAATCACGATCACACTCACAATCACATTCACAATCACAATCACAATCACAATCACAACCTCACAATCACACTCACAATCACAATCGTAATCGCAATCACAATCGCAATCGCAATCGCAATCGCAATCGCAATCGCAATCAATCGCAATCACCACCACCATCACAATCACAATCACAATCACAATCACAATCACACTCACACTCACGCTCACACTCACGCTCACACTCACTCTCACAATCACAATCACAATCACACTCACGATCACACTCATTCTCACACTCACAATCACAATCACACTCACACTCACGATCACACTCACGCTCACACTCACAATCACAATCACAATCACAATCACAATCAATATTACAATCGCAATCACAATCACAATCACACACACACACCAGGGACAGGAGACAGACAGACAGACAGACAGACAGACAGACAGACAGACACACAGACAGACAGACAGACACACACACAGTCAGACAGACTTCAGACAGACAGACAGACAGACAGACAGACAGACAGGCGCGCGCGCGCGATAGACAGACAGACAGACAGAGACAGACAGACAGACAGACAGACAGGCAGGCAGACAGACAGACAGACAGACAGACAGACAGACAGACAGACAGGCGCGCGCGCGCGCACGCGCACGCGCACGCGCACGCGCACGCGCACGCGCACGCGCACGCGCACGCACACGCGCACGCGCACGCGCACGCGCACG